AGAGGAACAAATGTGCTACGAGTAACTCAGGAAAACTAGTTACAGTTGAGCAACTTCACTGGATACAAATGAACACATTTAAAAGTCAGCAGCTCCTATCAGCAGCTATTGTACCACGGGAGGAAATGCTGCACCTGTGTAAGCTGGAAACCCATCAGAGAAGGAAAAGCTAGTGTTTCCCGACAACAGAGAGCAATAGAAAAGTGATAAGATCCCCCCCCACCACCACACCGCATCAAAGGCGGAAAATGTGGGAGACTTGGGGTTGGGGGGGTTGGCCCATTCGGTCTCTCAGCTTTCACAGTATCACACGGGGGCTGTCATTGTGAGGGGCAGACCGTTTGCAATTGGCCCAGGATGATAAAGTTCCCGGACTAAGTCTCAAAAAGACATTAAAGAAAGCCACAATAAACGGGGAGGTGTAGCATCTTCTTGGGAGGAAGGCGGGGGTGGGGGGTGGTGGGGGGTGGTGGAGGGGGTTCGACTCCCATAGAGAGTTACGGCCTCGGAAGCCCACAGGGCCAGTTCTACCCTGCCCTGTAGGGTTGCTGTGAGTCAGCATCGACTCAATGGCAGGGAGTTGGAGCATCTTCCGAGACAAGAAGACTCAACATTGTAAAGATGCCAGGTCCCCACAGACAAATCGACAGAGTCGGTGGAATTCGAAACAAAAATCTCACATGGCCCGTGGTGCCTTCCCATTGTGCTGGAGGAGGGTGCTGAAAGTACCATGGACTGCTAACAGGACAAACTGATCAGTCTTGGAAGAAGGCCGGCCGGGGGACTCCTTCTGACTTTGTCTTACGCGATTTGGACATGGGTCAGGAGAGACCCGGTCCTGGAGAAGGACATCCTGTTTGGTAAAGTGGAGGGGCAGCGAAAAGAGCTAGAGGGACCCGGTGGCTGCCTCGATGGGCGCCGGGACGGGGCGGACAAGGCAGCATCCTTGTGTTGGGCACAGGGCCCCGGGGGTCAGAGCAAACTTGATGGCACCCGACACCAACCGCAGAGCCTGACAACTTGATTCCAGAATTCATGTGGGAAAGC